TTCAGACTTCTGCCACCAACACTCCCCACTGACCCCTTAGTTTAGATCAGGGTGGGCAGGATATTTCCCAGTTTCCTCATATGCTGGCACAGGGCAAATTCATAAGATGAGTTTGCAGGTTATCTCAAACCTGGCGAATTTGGATCCAAGATCACCATCACTGGGGGGGCTCCCAGGCATGGAAACATCCCTGAACTTACAAGGACACTGCCTGTAACAGAGAGGAATGGACATGTCAGCCAGAGGTGATCTGGACCACAGGAATACCACTGGAAAGAATAATTTGTTCATTTGTCATTCTCAACAGATATAAGGAAAAAAATGTTGGAGAGGATAGTTAGACTTCAATCTGTGTGATCAAAGCCATGAACAACCTGAGAGACATTTGAAGCTGGCCCAGCTGTGAGTGGGAGCTGAACCTTCAGATGTGTGTTTCAGCCATGGTTTGAAGTAAGTCTAAGTGTCCAAGAGCAGAGAGGAACAGGGTTGCAGAAGAGGCAGCTTTTTCAGTTTCCTCCAACTAAACGTCTTGTTCACTTGTGGTTTGGCTGGGGTTTTGTAGTACGGGTGAAGTCAAAAGTTTATGGTAAGGTCTGTCTTGAGAAAAAGATATTATCTGCATTACTTCTGGCCACTGAAGTAAAATTTAGATGAGAAGTTACTGAGGAAGTAATAGGTTCAAGTTCCTTTAGTGTTTGCTTGTTCATCAGCACCCTTTAATCTGTGCAGTAAAAGATAGTGTTTCAATCAGCAAATGAAAAGGAGATGAAATCCCACATGAGTACCTTGTATCTCTTTAGAATGGGCAATCTGACTTGGCTTGTGGAGAGTATTTTCCTTTCCAAATGCTCTTTCTGTCCTGACAGTTGAAATCCAATGTAAGGTTCCAGGCATTTTAGCTGCTATTTAATTAAATACATCCATAGAGGTGAATGAGGCCTGAATAGGAAGATGGACAGCTCCAGTTCAAGGCTGAACTCAACTAATGGGGTATAAAAAGAAAAAGGAAAAATTAATGGAAATAACCAGTTTGTAATATAGCTAAATAACTTGTCCATTACTGTGCCGGGCTCACCAATCAAGAAGTCTCTAATTTTTGTTCCTTGACAAGTTCAAACTTAAATGAATCCTTCCAGATAGCACCAAGTAAGAAGTGTTTACTTTGAGTGGCAGAGATGGTGAGATAAAAACCTCTAACAATATGGGTAGAACAAAGTAATAACACCCATTCATTTTTTGCAATACCTACTGTGAACTCTGAAGTAGAGGAAGGCTGTAATAATAACAATACTCATGTGGAAAAGGAGGAATTTCCGTAAAAGTTTTCAGAAGGGCTAGTTGGTGGAGTTTCTCCCTTTTTTTTCTTGTGGTTTCTTACATTGTGTCCCCACCTCTAACATTTCTGTCAGAGAAACAGTGGCATTCTGTCACTGCAATGTAGTTGGCTCAGACTGCCTTGCTGTCCTGGCTCAAATGAGATTTTAAAGGCTCTAGGTTGACATTGGTAGGAATAAAAATGCAGGCATTACTACACCTTGACCAGAATCCAAGGTAAAAATCAGATGCAGAGAGACAGATGTGCCTCCAAACAAAAACAAAAAACCCCAAACAAACAAACCCCAAACCAAACCAAAAATCCACAACAGGGAAAAGAAAGGAGAAAATATTTCAGTATACAAGGAAAGTCACATCAGTACTTGGACAGAACGATAGATATGACAGTCATCACAGCAACAGATAAATCACAGAAATTCATATACGGGTGAAGTTCTTCAAACTATTACAGGATTCTTCATTTTTTTTCTTTTTTTCCTCTCTTTACGGTTTTCTCCTTACTCAGTGTCAGAGCAGTTTTAAAGCAATCACACTGCACAGTGGATCTTTCCTGCCTGTAGTATGGATGTGGCCTTCTGCACATGAATCCCAGAACAGAGATTCTGAGATCTAATTCCCACCAGGGTTCTTTGGATATAAAATGAATCTGCACTGACAAAGCTATTGGTTACAAGGCTGACATTATTTGAAGGGTGATATGTCTGAGCATTTGTGGTGATTGTCCTCCGGGAACATGGCTGATAAGAGAGAAATCAGAAAAAAAGGTAACAGTTCAGTTTACCTATGACACTGAAAGTGTCAGACAAATACAGAACACGAACTAGAGCTCATTTTTGTGTTAGTGACCCAGTGAAGAACATTCAAAAGAGAAAAACACAGCATAGAAAAGAGAAAAGGAGCCAGCCCCAAAGGACTAATATTCTCACCTTTCATCAGAGGCCCAAACAGTGTTCACAAGCCCTCCTGAAAAAAGATCCAAACTTATGCCCCATCTATCCAGGCAATTTCTTCTGGAGATTTCTCCTCCTTCCTGAAAGCAGCCGAGAATGAGCTCAAGAGCATGACCCAAGAAGAGGAGCCAAGTGCTGGAACCTTAGCTCAGCACTGAAGTCATGACCCGCCAGAGCGTGGAGTGAGACCCACAAGGGTTTCTGAGCTCCTTTGCTGCCCTCAGGGTTGACCCTGAATTGAGCATGAGGTTGTAACAATTGACTGCTAAGGCCCCTCCATGCTTGCATGAATCCGAAACTCCAGGGTTTCCTGACCTTTTCCAGAGAGGTGGTTTAAAGGCCGATGTCACATACACCAGGCTCCCATGAAAAGAAGCTTCCTCAAGCCTCATGTCTCTTTCAAATGTGAGCCCGTAGACTGGAGACTCTTTTGCACTTTATTTGCTCCTCGTGCTTCTGCCTGGGCTTTCTATTTGAGCACTGCCCGAATTTGCAGGACCACACTGAGAGGGAAGGTAAAGATTACACTGGTATTTGGGCAGCTGAGGCTGCAGAAACAAGAGTAGCAGTGTGTGAGGTCCCCCAGGGTATGGAAGGCACCTGGCAGAGCTCAGTGCTTCCAGGAACAGGGCTGGCACCTCTCAACACCTCCCAGACCTGTCAAGGTCCCTGCACCTGAGCTCAGAGCTCGGAATGCAGACTGACCCTGTGCTCCTAGTGCACTGGAGTAGTTCAAAGCAGACCATCCCACAGGCACTTTCTGACACTGCAGACTATCAATACAGGAGAGCTCTGCTCTGGGCATGTGCTTGCACCCCTCACCTCATGCCCAGATGGTCCTCTGCAGCCTTCTGACAAAAGGCAGCCAGCTCTGGCAACTGAGAAGCAGCAAGAAAAGCAGCATCTGTGTCTGGGGACACAATTCTGCTCTCCCTCCCACAGTTCCCACAAACCCCTGTCCTGGGAGGTGTCTGGGCCTGGTCCTGTGGCAATGGATGTTCCTGTGACCCCCCTAGAATGACAGGGGTGCGGTGGGGAAGGAGATCCCTGTGCCCACTGCAGACTCTGTGCCAGGGGAATCTCTGGGGCCATTAGGGCTCCTTTACAAAGTGCTGACGGGGAGGGGGTGCTGACACATTGTCACCCATCTCCCAGTGTATCCCATGGAAGAGCACTTTGGATTTTCCTCATCTCTTGTATCTTTACCAGACAGGCAGCTCTGTGATCACTCCCTTGCTAATCCTCCTCCCCAACATTCTCACTGACACTTGTTGGTTGTGGTGACTCTCAGCTCCAGAGCCTGTGGGACCTGTGCTCATCTGCCCCACAGTCACTGGTGCTGCTGACTGCTCCTTTCCTGCTCACGTGGCACACGTTGACTGCATGAGAGAGAAGAAAGTGCTGGACCTAGGGATTGGTATTCTGGTGTGGCATTTGGGTGGAAAGGGATGTTATGGGAGGAGAGAGAGCAAAGCCAATGTGGTTCAGGACTGGATGGAAAGCCTTGAGAGCATGATGTGTCAGATTGTGGTGTGTCTTGGTCCCTTTTGGCCAGATCACCATCCTCTTGACACCCAACTTTAAAATATTTATATGCATTTATGAGCTCCCCTTTCAGTCTTCTTTTCTCTAGACTGAGCAGGTTTGGTTCCTGGAGTCTTCTCTCGTCAGAGAGATGCTCCAGTCTCTTAATCATTTTTGTGGCCTCCACCGGACCCTCTCCAGTAGTTCCTTGTCTTTCTTGTACTGAGAAGCCCAGGACTGGATGCAGCACTCCAGACGTGGCCTCACCAGGGCCGAGTAGAGGGGAAGGATCACCTCCCTGACCTGCAGCCACACTGTTCCTGATGCACCCCAGGATCCCATTGGCCCTCCTGGCCTCCAGGGCATGTGTCTGGCTCATGGTCAACTTGTCATCTACCAAGACTTGCAGGTCCTTCTCCACAGAACTGCTGTTCTGGTAGTTGGGGTTATCCCTCCCCAGGTGGAGGGGCCCACACTTGTCCTTGTTGCACCTCTTTAGGTTTCTGTGCCCCCAGTTTTATATCATTGGGAAGCATGCTGAGGGTACATTCTATCCCTTTGTCCACATCATGGATAAATGATCATAAAGGAAAAATTGCATAAAAGAAATGCATCTCTCCCTGGCATGACTGACCAGGCTTGTCTCTCTGCAATACTGCCTTTGCCTGAGCCATATTTGACATTCTCTATCCTGTCACCACACCACGAGGGCACTTCTTGGCCCAGCCAGGTCTGATTAGCTGATTCCATAGGAGAAAATCTCCACATTTCAGCCCTCAGGCATTTTACAGGTGCAGAGAAAATGCTTCATCTGAGGTTCAAGAGGGTTGAAAGGGAAGATGGGATGTAAGGTTGGCTGGTGTTGAGTCTGTCTGAGGATCCTGAGATGGTTTCAAGTTGGTAATAGAAACCCACATGATCCCCCCTTGAAGGCAGAGAAGCTTCTGTTTCTGAAAGGCTGAATAAATGGTTTGGCAAGGCTGCTGTCTCTACCTGCTGGTTTGAGTGCAAGAGATTGAGGGAGACAAGGGAGAGCATTTGCAGCAGTTCAGGGACAAAGATCTGTATTGTGTGTCCCACCTACAGTCCCACTCAGGTTCTCCCAAGGAGTGTCATCTCCTCCTTCTCATGCTCAGGCTTTGCATCCCATCCTCAAGAAGGCAGCACACACAAGCAAGTTTGAAGGAGCTTTTATTGATGGACAGAAAGCAGAGCAGGAGGTGGCACTGTTGGGCAGTAGTGGGAGGAAGGGAACAATGGGAAACTGGATGTGCTTGGGACCTGCTTTCTTACCTTGCCAGGGAGACTTCCCTTAGTGCAGAAACCATTGCCTGGCAAGGCATCTCTGACTCTGTTTTAGCTGCATTTGGAATTCTCTTGGATTGCAAACTTCCTCAGCTGTTCATTGATCCAGGGCTCAAAATAGGAGACTCTGGTAAATACCTTAGGGAAGGGTTTATTTTGATATCCATAAGAAACAATGCCATGAGCCTTCCGATTGCAGACTAATGGGCCTCCAGAATCACCCTGTGGAGTGAAAGGAGTGAAAGGGGTCAGCCCTGTCACAGCACAGCTCTCCCTGCCCTAAGGAACAAACTATTCCACTTCCCTCTCCCCATGTAAAGAATCTCCTCTTCTGACCCCCTCCCTCCCTCCAGACCCAGCTCTGTAGGGTTTGTAGCTGCCTCACTACTCCTCTAAGCCCTTCTGGGAAGCAACTCAGGACTGGAGGCTATTTGAGATTCAAAACCTTTCTGAAAGGAAGGATCTAATCCTAGTTTAGACATGGGGGACTATCTGAACACTTCCAGTGAGGATAGGATGAAGGATTTACACAAGCTCTGCAGCCTGCTGGGGCACTGGCTGGGATGGGTAGAACATCCCCAAGTGAGTAAAGAGGCAAATTGATGCTGAGAGTTGGGCAAGTGCACCCCAGCTCAGGGAGCACGTCAGCTTCAGAGCTGCTGTGAGGAGCCTCAGCACATCCTCCTGAAGAATCTGGTTCATTGTACTGCCCTTTTGACCCTCACCTGAGAAACCTGACTGACTGTGGTCCCAGCACCATCCAAACACTTACATTGTAAGTTGATTTTCTGCCACGCATATCACCGGCACAGATCATAGACTGGCACCAGTAGCCTTTGAAAGACTCCTCACACACTTCCTCACGCTGCAGCTCCAGGTCCACCTCTAGCATCACATCAGTCCTATGCCCTGTCACTGATGTCTGGCCCCAGCCAGACACACTACATTTAGTTCCTGGTGCAACAGTTTCATTATGACTGGGCAAGGAGATGGGTTTCACATACTTAGTCATCTTGGCCTTTCTCTTCAGCTATTAAGCAGAGAGAACATGGGGTTAGAGCCAGCAAAGGAATGGGAACAAGTTCATGGGTTTGGTGAGGTGAGCAGGGAGGAGATCCCTTGGGCAGAAAAGATGTGTGAGAACATACCTTCAGCAGCATGATGTCATTTCCAGATCTATAATTTAAGTATCTGGGATGGATGACCCAACATCCAACATGGAACTTCTGCTGGCTCAGTTCTTTCTTTTTTATGTTGTGGGCTCCCAGAGTCAGAGTGATATTCACCTTTCTACCAGGAAACACCAAAATGTTACAGCTGCACTGGCCAGAGCAGCACAGCCCCGTGGCAGGTGGTTGGAGGGAGGTGGCACTGGGATGTACCTCCCCAGAGATTTGTTCTCAGCAAATTCCCTTTTGTAACCTGGGTTCCTTCCACCGTTCAACTGAGGGTCCCTCCCCCCACACTCACATAGGTCTGACTTGTCCCATTCTGAAGACAAAGGGAAGCAGGGAATGGGACACACACTGGTCCCTCTTTTGCAGCAGTACCTCTGAGCCATGGTAGGAGCCATGAACCAGGAGATCACTGCTGAGCATTCCTGTCCCCAGGAGCACACAGCAACCTGGCAGACAATTCCTGCAGCTCATAGGGGGAGCTCAGCTCACAGAGATCCCTGCTCTGCCTGAAGAGACACAGAGAACTCTTTCAGCCCAGACCAGGACTGGGGCCCTTCAGGACTGTGTGAGACTTGAAAATATCCCACACAGAAGAAACAGAGGGTCTTACCCTTTTCCATGCACACAGTGAGCTGCTGAGAGCACTGCATCTGGTTGAATCAGGAACCCTCCACATCTGTAAGTATCTGAGCCACTTTCAATTTGTAAGTAAGCCATGTAGGGCCTGGAGTGGGGCTTAACTTCCCTTCCTCCAATGATCCTTCCTGGAAGAGAGATGAGAAGTGTTAATATCACATATGCCAATATTTCCTACCAAGTTTGGAACTGCATGAGGAGAGAGGGACCTCTTCTAACATCATATGCAAATGATATCCACAACTCTCCTTCCTTGGGCTGTCCAAAGCATTGCTGGCGCACAATGGAGAGAAAGACAAGCAGCACTGCCTGGGGAGGACTGACCACACCTGGCTCTGGATGACTGAAATGTTATCAAAGGGCACAACTCTAGTCCCTGTAATGCATCACTGGTTTCAGGCACAGTCTGAGTTGAAAAAGAGGAGAGTAGGAGTGCAGTGATAGGAGAGAAGACCAGGTAAGAACATTTCCTGAGATTTCCTGCTAGTGTCCATTTGAGGCCTTGCATGTCCTTGTCCTGGTGTACTCACCAGCCCCAGCCCATGGTAGAAGGAGAAAAGCGTTTGGGAGTAGGAGAAGCAGCATCTTCTACCACTGTCCTGAGGAGCCAAAGCAGTTATTAAGGCCAGACAGGAGATAGGTACAGAATGGCAATCTCTATATATGTAGTGTGGAGTTGAAACAGGAAACCTCAGCCTGCTCTTAGGTTGTGTCATTTTCTGCTTTTTTATTTGCAACCCCCAGATTGTGGCTTGGTGAGGGAGTTCATTGCACATGCTCTGGTTTTTGTCACCATCTCCTCCAGAAGCTAGAGAGATCTGGGCTTGTTCAGGACCTCACATCCCCGAGCACTTGTGTTCTAGATGATTTGAGAAGTCCATTTGCTGAGAAAAGTCTGAGGTCCAGCTGGGAAGTCAGTCCACGGGCCCAGGTCCACATCAGCAGAGGCCATGGCCAGGTGCAGGCCTGGCTGAGACACTACTGGAGCTGGAGCTCAGGTGGGGACCAGAGTCAGAGTGTCCTCTTCAAAGCAGCCCCCAGGAGAAGGGTAGCAGCCCCCAGGAGAAGGGCAGCAGCCCTATCTGAGGCCTCTCTGAGGTCCTTCCTGGCTGCACTGGTTCCAGGGTTTCAAGCTGGAAGGGACTCAGCCCCCAGTTTTGCTGACTCTCCTTTTGCCGTGAGTCCAGCCATTCGAACCTCCAGGAAGGGGAATGCACTTAAGGCACTGACACAGAAGAGGAAGACTGGACATCCTGTCTGGGCATCTCATTCCAATGCTTCAGTCTTCTCATCATGAAAACACTTTTAGTTTTTTCTTACACATTGACTTTTTAATTTATTTTCTACTGTCTACCCATTATCTTTCTCTCTCATGCTGCCACCGCTGGCTGCGGTGAAGAGCCTGGTTCATCTTTCTAGTGGTAGCTTGCAGGCATTAGAAAGCTTCTCTTCTGTCTGAACTTGTTACAGACCTCCACATAGAGTATGGCCTATGAACCACCACCACCGCTCTGAGCACGAACATCCAACCTGTTTTTACCCATCAAGTTGTTCATTTAGATCATAACATTCTAACCCACAGAGAAGAGTATGCTGGGTCCTGACAATGTCCAAAGCCTTGCTAAAGTCAAGGTAAAGGACACTCACTGCTCTCCTTCCTGCATAATGCCATAATGAGAGAAGCAAATCACCTTGGTCAAGCCTGCTTACACTTGGTAAGTGCTTGCTGACTGTTGCCATCCCCTTCCTCTGCTCCATGTGCCCTAACGTGCATTATGAGAGGAATTGCTCTGTGAGTTTTCCAGACTCCTTGGAGAAAGTTGGCTTCCCTCCTTGTATTCATGCTTAATTAGATGCTGTTACTTTTGGTCTGTGTTTAGCCCAGCCACCTGTGAGAGTCTGTTCTTTTCCTGCCAAGTGATGTGAAAACAAGCACTGATAAATGAGAACTTCGTCCTTGAAGGAAGCATCTTCTATAAACCGAAATTAATTGGGACCTCACTATTGGCCGACGGCCCTCCAAGGGCATTTGAAGGAAAAAGTGGAGAGGAGGAGGATGAATAAGCCCCCAGACTCATTTAGGAAAGACCCCTGAGGTGTAGCAGGGGCACCACTTACATCACAGGGGGAGGGACCGAGGGCCTCTGGCTGGGCGGTTCTGGCCACACCTGCCCAGGTAGATGTCACAGGTTAATTGCATAAAAATTGCTGGGAGTGGATTCAAACTTCACAGGGAGGACAATGTTGCCTTTGCATGTTACCTTTGCAGGGATGCCTGCTATCGTGTGAGCCTGCTGATGCTCTGAGGATGCAGCTTCTGCTATGGGGAATTCTAGGCATTCTGGCGTCTGTAAGACAACCTCGAAAGTAACACCTGAGTGAGTGGGGTGTTGTCTTGGAGATTTGTTTCCCTTCTCTTTCCTGTCTCTCGATTTCTCATTTTGTTTACTATTTCTTTGTAATAAATGTTGTTTTGTTGAGCTTTCAATGGTGTACTGATTTCAGTTTCGGCAATCTCCCTGCTACACTCCTCTTCTTTCAGCTTTCACCTTTTCATTCATCAACATGACCTCAGCAAACCCAGACTCCTCTTCAGCCTTCTGATGTTTCCAGCAAAGTGCTGACGTTCTCCGCAATTCCTCTCTTGGCTGGAAGCTTAAAAAGCTGTAAATAGGAGACTGAGTCTTCCCAAGTGAGAAGACCCTCTGCAAGGCTTGTGACCTCTTGGATGGGCTTGTGCAACCCCAGTACTGAGCATGTGGGCTGGGACATGTCCAGGCCCTGTGTCATGATGCCATTATAGAATTATTGTTCTGTGCTCCCCTGTATGTTCCTGTTCCAAACATGGAAAGAACCAGAGTGGACATGGTTGTGTTGCAGCTCACCAGGGCAGTGCTTCTGAAGGTGAGCACTCTGAATGTGTGCTGCCTCTCTTGGGATGTTTCAGGATGCTGACAGGAGGTGATTGAGCCCTCAGAGCCCTCAGAGCCCTCAGAGCATGGAGAGAAACAAACCTGAGCCATCCCACTCATATCAACTACTTGGAGGCTTACCGGGAACTGAGTGCTCTGGTAGTCACAGGGACATGGAGGTAGGTACCTGATTGATTTGCTGTAAAGCAGAGACTGAGTGTCCTCCCACCCTTTTGGGATGCTCAGAGGACCAGAACCTTAGCATGAACTGGAGGGAAACCTTCATGAAAACAAAGACACATCCTCTGTGCCTTGACATGGGTGGAGCAGAGTGTACTAGACTTAGATGGCTTTTGAAAGATCGAAATTCAGGAAGATGAATCCGGGCACATCCTTCCACTGCTGAAAAGGAGTTCATAGAATCCCAGAATCATAGACTGGCTTGGGTTGGAAAGGACCTTAAAGACCATCTCGTTTGAACGCCTTGCCATGGGCGGGGACACCTGACTGACCATATATCCACACTTGCTTCTGCCCCTCCCTCTCCCAGCACCAGACCACAAGGCTCATTCAAACAAGCACCATCCTTGCTTCAGACATTTTACTTTCCCTGGAAGAATGCCAGGCTCCTTCCTTTCAGCACTTGCAATGATTCCAACAGCTTTTCACACTCCATTGGTGTTTTCATGCAAAGGGGGAGATCAGGCTCTATGGCACTTTCCTACAGTCCAGAGCTCCTTCCAAGACAGTCACAAGGGTTCTTTGGCAACTTCACTTCTGGGGAAACCCTACAGGAAAACCTGACAGCTCCGAGGTGGAGACCGGTGAAAGGTTGGGTAAAGATTAAAGTCTTGTCTGAGTGCCAGCAACCAGAGCAGGGACCATGGTTCCCAGGGCCTCCTGTGGCTACTGTGTCAGGAACTGGGTAGGCCAACCTGTCTGCCTGAGGAGGGCAAGGGACTTGTAAACCATAACTTTGTTTGGAAACCAGATGTACTCTGCAGGGTTGAACAGCAGGACCAAGACAAACAGGGCAGAGCCCATGAGCTCTGGACATCACCTGTGACACCTGTTACTGTGAGTGTGTGACTGTGTGTGTGAGGCAAGTGGAGATGGGAGGATCCAAGGGCTGGATACTGCCCAGGCTGAGTGTCTAAGTCTGGTTACTGGGGGATCCATCACACCCACGTGTCTGTGGAGGAGTTTGTGTGTGCGGCAAGTGGTTCTGTGTCCCCACGGCTGGAGTGGGGTTGGGGGCCTCAGGGTGCCAACAACTGGGACACCTGGGATCCAGGGCAGCTGCTGGGTCAACGTGGGCAGAGTGTCTCAGTGTTGCTGGGGGATCCCTGTGCCTGGGTGTGGGTGCTGGTGGTGCTTGATCTGCCTTGACACGTGTCCCTGGTGTGTATGTGCTGGAGTGCCTGGGGTGCCCATTTCTGTGCGCCTGGAAGGCTCAACCGCACTGGGGAGACATGGTGGGAGCTGCTGGATCTGCTTCCCACAGATCCTACCCAGGCCTTACAGCAAGGAACCCTTCTTGGTAGCTTGGACATCACTATGTCCAACAGGTCCTTCTACTTTGGCACAAAAGGAAACAAACTTTGGGCATCCATTCAGAAGTAGTAGTAAATTGGGCATTGCATGATGTCTCCCTTTTATTCCTACTCTGATCTCACCTGAGCTGTCCTCATGAACTTGTCATGGATTACTGCTCAGTGTGTTTTTTTCCTGCTTCAGATTTCTGCCACCGACTCTCCCCGCTGCCTGCACTTCAGCTGTGTGTGTTTAATAGACATTGGCCTTGAAAACAAAGCTCTCCACTCAAGCCTAAGCTCTGAATTTTATTTCAGGTGCCTCCAATGGAGGCGTCTGAAATGCCTCCTGCAGCAGTGCTGCCTTCACACGGCAAGAGAGAGGAATGGACATGTCAGCCAGAGATGATCTGGATCACAGGAATACCACTGGAAAGAATAATTTGTTCATCTGTCATTCTCGATAGATATGAGGAAAAAAATGTTGGAGAGGATTGCTAGACTTCAACCTGTGTGATCAAAGCCATGAACAACCTGAGAGATATTTGAAGCATGTCCAGCCATGCATGGGAGCTGGACCTTCAGATATGTGTTCCATCCACAGATTTGAAGCCTTCATCCCAGTGTAAGTGTCCAAAAGCAGAGAGGAACAGTGTTGCAGAAGAGGCGGCTTTACAGTTTCTTCCAATTAAACTTCTGCTTCTTTTGTGGTTAAGCTCAAGATCAATGAGGATGATTAAGGAGAGCAGTGTTTTGTAGTGCAGGTGTCGTTGAAAGTTTATGGTGAGGTCTGTGAGATATTATCTGCATTACTGCTGGCCACTGAAGTCAAATCTAGATGGGGAAAGTGAGGAAATAACAGGTTTGGTTTCCTTGAGCATTTGCTTCTTCATCAGCACCCTTTGACCTTTCCTGTAAAAGACAGTGTTTCAACCACTGAATGGGAAGATGGGCAGCTCTGGTCCAAAGGTGAGCTCAACTGATCCAATAGGAAAAAAAAGAAAAAGGAGAAATCAATGGAAATAGCTAGTCTATTACAGAGCTAAATAACTTGTTTCATCACTGTGCCAGGCTCACCAGTCACAAAGTCACTAATTTTTGATCCTTGACAAGTTCAAACCTAAACACCAACTAATCCTTCCAGGTGGCAGGAAGTGAGAAGTGTTTACTTTGTGTAACAGAGATGATGATATAAAAAACTCTAACAATATGGGTGGAACAAAGTAATAAAACCCATTCATATTTTGCAATACCTACTTTGAACTCTGAAATAGAGGAAGGCTTGAAGAGAAGAAATACTCAAGTGGAAAAGTTGGCGTTCCCATGAAAGCTTTCAGAAATATTAGTTGGTGGTATTTCTCATTTTTTTTGTTGTGATTTCTCACATTGTCCCTCCACTTAGAGCAGGGGAGAAGTGTTCCAACTATGCAGGCTTCTGTAAAACCTGTATTCACTTTAAATAAGAAGAGAATATAAGAGTTACCATGAATGAAACACAAACATTTTCAATGGGATGAAATTTAGAGAGAAAGCTTCTTTCAGAGAGGAAGGTGACAAATCTGGCCTTTGCCTGTTGTGAGGTGCCCACTAAATTAATTGTTTTCCAGGCCTCTTTGACAACCCTATTGGTTTCTGTTTGAATTATTCTTCCCATCCACTGCTAAGAATGTCACCTTTCAAGTGTGGTGGGAAAGGCCACTACCCGCTGTTGGGCTTTGAGTCCTTCATGGTTCAACTGAGCAGCTCTGGAGAGATGCTGACCTGAGGTGATTCAGGGCTTTAGATCTGGCCCCTGGAGCTCAGAACACCATGGAGTTTCTCCAAGAACATTGCAGAGTTGGGCTGTGCCTCTAAGGAGACCATGAGGAACATGTCCCCAGAGCCAGAGTGTGACTGGCTCACAGCGAGAGGTGACTCTGGCTCTCCCAGTCACTGTCTGTAATTAACACCTTCAGAGTTGCACTGAGGTGATCTCAGCCCTGGTGTAAAGGGAGCTGTAGTCTTTAGATCCAGCCATCCCTTTCCTTCAGCATCGTGGATTCCCTAGAGAAAGGAAGTTGTTGTGGGAAGTAGGAGTAAGCAAAGAGGCAGAACCAGGAGAGGTTGTCCCAGTGAGTAGAGGGACCAGTGTATCCATGGAAGACAAGCTTGGACAACATAGCATAAAGGACATGGTGGATGTGATCTCAGCTGCAGTAAATTACTAGACCATATTTGGGAGAATTTTCAGTACACAGAAATAAGACACAAATATCACAGATCCATTGAATCTGTCATCTAATTGTCCTTCTGATATACCAGTTTTGGTTATTTTTTCACTAAGTGCCTGACCCCAAGAAAATTATGTTATCCACATAAAATCACAGAAGTATATATGTTCCTTACATAGTCAAAGATGGAAAACAAACATGCTTTTATTTAAGAGGTCCCAAAGGAAAACTCCTTTTATCTGAATTATCCACTTATTATGGTTACTTATTGTGCTGGACACTCAGGATTCAGTCTGCAGAAGTGTTTTCTGAGATGGCATAAACCAGGAGACACCTGCAGAGCTGTCTCGTGCTTTTAGATAGTACAAGGGCAGAGCACTTAACCCTTGTCCTAAGATCAACTTTAAGGCTAGAAGGAGGAGTTAGGAGGGTGTTGTTTTACACTGCTGCCATCCTAGGAGTTGTCTGTAAATAGGACAAGTAGTGGTTGGCAAAGTACCCATAGAACCAGAGGCTGGTTTGAGTTGGAAGATACCTTAAAAGACCAGCAATAGTGGAAGCAGCATAGATGGTGGGTGATCTTTTGGGGAAGCCTAAAGACATGGTTATAGGAGGCACAAAATGAATGAAAGCTTGTCTGGGGTTCTGAAAATAGGGAAGGAGCAAAGAGGCAGTGGGAACAGAATGCACAGTTATGATGTGTTGGAGGGAGGCTGAGGTGTGTAATATGGCAAATAGACACCGAGGCAAATCTGGCTGATCAACAGCATTGGCCTGAGACTTCCATACTGAGAGATAAGGAGGAGAGCTGGTGTGGAGCAGAAGCAGATTTGTGGCAGGGCTGCTGAGCACTGAGCTCTTAACTGCAGCACTGTTTTCATAGAACACTGCTTGCTAGGGGAACAGTTATCATACCCTAGTATGTCACAAGAGAGCAGAAGCACCACTAAGTGGTGAAATTCAGCATCTGTCATGTGCCTCCACCTTGTTATCTAGAGAGAAACGAGGACCTTGAAGAGCCTGTTTTCTTCACTGCCTGTAGAAGGAGGCATGTTGCCTGGTCCAAACACTGACATTAACATCACAGAGATTTGGATTGAGATACTCACTGCCCATCTTCACAGGCAGCATCCAGTTTCCTCAACATAACCACTGAATTTCATTTTGGATCCTCCAGGGTGTCCTCCTCAGCCTCCAGCTGCAGCTCTAGCGAGGTGCTGGTTTCCCTTAGGTCTGAGACACTTCAAGCTGTCCTGCACTGATAACTCACACATCCTAGAGCATCCAAGCAACACCAGATGCCTTCCCATACATGTCCAAGTTGACTCTAGTCACTACAGCCTGTGAAGTGATTCATCTTTCTGATGAGTCATCCTCTGAACACTGAGATGAAGACTGTGCCCCTGGCCGGGGTTATTTCGTGTGTTACACAGAGTCAGACAGAAGTTTTTGCTGCTGCCTTGTTCAAGGTGCTTTCGCGGTTTTTCACTGCTCTTCCTTTTCCTTTTGGACTGCAGTAAAATGTTGATCGTTTGGACATCTTTGGTCATCATGATTTTTTCTGTCAGTGTTTTGAACTGTCAGTGTGGCACACAAAAACTGTGAGATGGTTTAAGCTAAATATTGCGTCTTCCAGGTGCTGGATGTCAGTATTGATGATGTATTGAGGTTGATTGTGTGTTTCTAAAGTGCATAAGAGCACAACTGAAGCATATACTCATTTAGTGAAGATACAACATTTAGGGTTCTTAGAGAATAACAAGTTTTGGCTGGTTTTCCTTGGCAACAGAATTACTAAGGAAGAATATGCATTACAATTCTATTTCTGAGCAAAAACTGCCTTAAGCTGCAAAACTTGAGGGGTTCATATCTAAACATTTCTGATTTTCAGTCGAGTCCAAAGGATCCATCAATGGCTGGTTGAAGCTGATACCTTCTTCATAGCAATAGATGGGAAAGATCATGGGAAATAATGAAGACAAATATTGAAATCTAGATCTTTTAGCTGTGAAAATAAAGGAGAAAAGGAGAAACAAAAGTGAAAGAGTGAAATGAAAGCAGTGCAAATGGGGTGGAAACAAAGTTTCTGCACTCAGTGACCAAATCTTTTAATTTCTCAGAATTGGCTTCTCATCCATACAAGAGAGGTTGACTAAACTTAAGTGAAACACAACTATAGAATAGCTACTCAGAACTCTTTTCAGGTTGGTGATGGATACAAATTTAATTCCAGTAATTCCAATCAAATCTGATTTTTATCTGTTTGGTTCTTTTTTCCTACTGCAAGAGATGAACAGTCTCCTAGGTGTAGAGATAGGAGGCAGAGTTTTAGCTGTGTTTATTCCACACCACCCCCGTCACAGCAGGGATGTGGTTTTCAGCAGGAAAAGCCAAGAGCCAGAACCCAGGAGTTTGCCATTTTGGCTGGCTTGCCCCAGCGGAGGGACTGCTGCCCATCGACTCTGGCAGATTTGGTCCCTCTGCTGGTCCTCCCTCCTGTTTTCCACATGACTACAGACCTTTTCTGTGCTGCTGAACTGGCAGCCCCAGTGGAGCACAGCCAGGGGAAACCATAACTGTTGCTGGAGATGGGAAGACACAACTGCTGCTGCTGCTGCTGCCATCGGAGTCGGCATTTCAGCAGCAGAACTCTTTATTCTGGATGAACTATCTCTCCAGGTTTTGTTTCTTCTTTCTGTCTCTCCTTTGTTTCTGGGCTGGAAAACATAAACGGGTTGGAAAAAAACACACTGGGCACTCTCTTCAGGGAGTGTTTTTGTTTGGTTGGTGGTGGATAACCTTTTTTTGGGTAAACCATTCCCTCTTTTGTACAATCTTTTATTATTGTTGTTATGATTCTTGTGGTTTCCTCAGTAAATTGTGATTCCAACTTATAATCTCTCTGAGTATTTTTCCTCTGCTATGGAAAGGGGGCAGCTTGAGTGGGGTTAATTTCCCCCTCGGGTTTTTAAACCAGCACAACCATTAATTGTATTGATTTTTGTAGGCTCATGAAAGAAAGAAAGTAGGAAGCAAGGAAGGATGGAAGTGGAAGAGAAGGGGGAAAAAGGCAAGGGAAAGGGGCTGTTACAACCCGCCCCAGAGGGCAACTCAGGTTCTTGTTAATAGATCCCTTGGGGTGGATTAGAGTGAAGTAACACTGAATTATTGGTGTTTCTATATATATATATATATATACACTGGGGGGTTGTTTTAGAAAAAATTGGCTGCAAAGGAAAGCAGTTTTTGGTTATAGTTATCTATAGTAATACAGCAAGATAAAAGCATAAAAATAACGCTTAAGAAAATGTGTAATGGAAAAGAAAGAAAGAGAAAGAAAGGATAAGAGTAGAAAGATCTCACCACCCAAGGATGCTGCGACAAGGCTTCATTGTTGCAATTTTGATGTCACAGTGAGGAAGGTGATGGTCACAGTCTTGACCCATTGGGGATGGGGGAAGCCCATGAAGCACAAAATTCTGTGGGTTAATACACGCTCAGATTTCGGTGGAACACCCAGGTACCTTCCATGGCAGGGCAGGGGGGAATTTTACACTGTCTGATGTAACGCTGTGGATCATGTTAAGTCCTCTGGTGAAAGCCCCAGAAATGAGTTGGGGGCACTTCAGGGGTCTTCGATGGTTCTTCGAAGACATGACAGCTGTCTCACATCAGCATAGTTGAGCCAATTATGCCCCATCAGAAGTGATGAATAATGTGAATGTCCCAATACATTCCCCAGGGTGGGGGCAGTTTTTCAACTGAGCCAGTTGTGAAAAGGATGACAATTGGCATGGTAAAATGTGCTATCCTGCCTCTGCAGGGTCTGCTTCTTGTGAGCCTTCTCCCTTATCTGGCTCAAAACCTAGCCTCCAGTGCTGGCTGCTCACCCCCTCTGTCTTACACAGAGCAGAGGTTTCGCCACCGTGCACAAAACACTCTCCTCTTTCCCTTTGCAAACCCGGCCCCAGCAAAACACCCCTCGCGTGGCTGGTTGTTTTGAGTCATTTGAGCCTCTCACAGGAGTAAATGATTCAAAGTTGACAAGTAGTCACTTAGACTGAAGATTGAAATGTGAACAGCTGGAGTTGAATGAAATTTCTACAAGAGACAGCATGGCCCCTAAAGGTACCCAGTCAAATTAAACAAAGGCAGGAGGCTTTATCAGGCTAATTCTGTCCTTGGAGTCACATATCCCTTGATGTTCCCAGATATTTCTTAGAGCTTTTAGGTTAAAAATTGATCACCAGCTGGCTCGGGATGCACAGTTCATAGAGTTAGACATGTAAGACATGACATGCCTACGCCTGAAGGAGTCTCTCCTGTCCCACTTTACAGGTAAGGGAGGGAAAACTGCCATTCGGAATAGCATTTCAACTGCTACTGTAAGTGTGTAATTGGTTGGGGACATCCCCTTGCCCCCAGAGGGAGCATAGTTCTGAACCACCATCCCTGACCTGCCTAAAATCAGCTGAAATCAATCCCACCCACAGGGCAATTAGGGCTTTCAAGAGACTCTTCTTAAACCTGGAGTGAGTCATGTGTCAGAGGCAGCTCAGCTGTTCACTTCTTGGGAAAAAAAAAGAGATGCATTGAGGTTGCTGCCTTTTCAGCTGCAGCCAGTTCAACGGAGTTGAAACAAATCTAAAAATTCCTTTTCTTCCTCTCCATGAGGCAAGGCTTTGGCTGACTTTCTGTGGAGTATGCCAGGTACTAATATCAACAGATTGCTCAAGCTGTGGCAGGAGATCATTTGCACTTAAATATAACTTTTAACCTGCAACGTAAGCTGACCGTAGGAATCATCAGCCCAACGCTATCCCTGATGTAGGAAAACAAGGGAAATACTTGTATCCAAATTTGCGTGACCCACATTGGAGGAATTGGATGGCAGAACTGTTGCAGGTAGGACACTTCAAACTGTTTATTGTGAATGTATAAAGCAAATACAAGGAAGAACTAAGGCCAAAACTTAAAGGGCCTCAGAGCCAGTACGCACGAATTACACAAATTGAGAGTTGTGTCTGAGAGGTGTTCTGCGTTAGGAAATAAAAACTAACCTGTCAGTGAAACAATGACTGCTGTGAGGGACGTTGACTTAAATAAAGAACTAATGCTCAAAGCAATAGTCTAAAACTTTCATATGGGTTCAAAGAGCAGAATCAAGAAGCTTCCGCTTCAGCCACATGGATCTAACAATTAAGAAAACCAGTGTGAATGTGTGCCAGTGGAGAATGCAGGGAGTTTTTTATGTCATTCTCTATCTGTCATGCACAGGCTATCTTGGGATATCACTCAAAAGAGTCTTCTTTCATTTCTACGTTAATGGAATCAGTCAAACCCAGAAAGATTCCTTTTAAATACACCAGACCATTAACTGTCTGAGAATTTTAGGAGTTTAGTTACTATGATTACAAGGTAAAGTTGCCTGTGGCTCCAGGATCTACAGCTTGCACCTTCATGTTCATGTCAAAAAACCCACAGACAAAAGAGGGCAAGTTATAGCCAAAAGAGAAATTAGACGGAGTCAGTCTGAGGAGTGACTGAGTCATGGCAGGGTCGTGTGCTCTGCTCTTGCTTTGACAGCGTGTCCTTCTCTGGGTGCCAGGTCTGTTGAGCTGACGTGTCTGAAGGGCACACAACTAACGCCCCCTTCCTCCTGTCAGGCTAATTTCTTCTTTCTTTCAGTGCGTCGGTTTCCCATCTCAGACATTACGAGCACACAGAGCTGCCACGGCTGGCCCAGCACTGCCTGAATTTGCCCCTGGCCTTGCACCCACAGCGAAACTGCTCGGGAGAACGGGGAAATGTCACTAATGAAGTGAATGGTGCTGAGCTTCACCCTCTGCACTTTCTTACCATTCTCTGTGGGCACCTCTCCCTGTAATTTTTCCTTCTTCCTTTGCCTGCCTACAGACAGAATTTGGGTTTGGTTTACTTTGGTGCTGCCTTCTTTGGTCTGTGGGTGTTTCAGTTGTCAGCTGGGCTTTCCTCCAGTGACAGGAGTTGGCTTAGGTCTTCCCTTCACAGCTTCTGGTTCCTCCATTTGGGGGTGCTTTCCCCAGAACTGGGCTCTTTGAAGTCTTTCTGTCCCACTGACAGCTGGGGAGTGACGTGAATATGAGCCAAAGCCTCCCACAGCCTGAGCTTCCCTGGCTTTCACCTAAAGTTGGGTTGCTCTAAAGGTAACTTTGGATATCTCGGAGGAAGCTGCCTGCCCTGTCAGTTCCACTCTGTAGAAAAAGCCAGGTCCCAGCAGAGTGCAAGGAGCAATGCCCACTGCTCCCTACGTAGCAAAATGGTTATTCTTTCTTAGGTCTGTGGGTGTTTCAGTTGTCAGCTGGGTGTTCCTCTCAGTGCAGAAAGTGCCTCTGGGACCAACTGGGAGCACAGAACTGACATTTGAGGGGAGCACATATTCTTGGCAATTAACGCTATGCCCAGAATGGAGCCAGCCCTTAAATGCTAACTCCTCATAGTCGAAGGCTTGGTCATCACTGTCCCAAACAATGCCACTTGGAGAGCACTGACACTCCCACTACAGTCGTTGCCTTCTTACTTTGCTCAGCTCAGCCTGTTCTACAGTTACAGCCTTTGATCCAGCAGCTCTCCAGCAGTTCCCAAGAGACTCTTTGAGTAACTGGCTGAAGCACCGTCATGTGACTACAGCTCTGACAGTCTGTCTGCTTGATTCCTCCCAGATGGAGTCAACAGAGGAAACAGAATCAGGAAACCACACTCTGCTGACTGAATTTGTCCTCTCTGGATTGTCCAACCGCCCAGAACTGCAGCACTTGCTGTTCTTCACATTCTGCTTAGTTTACACCATGACTGTCGTTGGGAACCTTCTCATCCGCGTGGTCACGGTGCACCCCACCCTCTGCACGTCCATGTACTTCTTCCTCCGGGTCCTGGCCTTCCTGGATGTTTCCACAGCATCCACTGTTGTCCCCAAGATGCTGGTAAGTTTCCTGTCAGAGGACAGGAGCATCCTCTACGTGGGCTGTGCCACGCAGCTCTACTGTGTGATTTTCTTCGGAGCCACTGAATGGTACCTTTTGGCAGCCATGGCCTATGACCGTTACGTGGCCACATGCAACCCCCTGAGATACGCTGTCATCATGAATGCCAGAGTTTGCCTTTCCTTGGTCCTGCTGTCCTGCTGCAGTGGCAATGTTGTGTCTGTGGTGCAGACAGCTTGGGTGTTCACGATGCCCTTTTGTGGGCCCAGGAAGATTAACCACTTCTTCTGTGACATTCCCCCGCTCATCCTGCTCTCCTGCACTGACACCTCGCTGTATGAAAAGCAGACGGTTGCAGCCACAGTGCTGGTCATCTTCACGCCATTCTGCCTCATCCTGGTGTCCTATGCCTGCATCATCTCCAGCATCCTGAAGATTTCCTCTGCAGAGAGCAGACACAAGACCTTCTCCACCTGCTCCTCACACCTTATTGTTGTAATATTGTACTGTGCAAGTGGAACCTTGAATTACTTATGACCGAATTCCCGTAATTCACAAGACACTAAGAAAGTTGTTGCTGTCGTATACACAACCATAATTCCCATGTTAAACCCCCTGTTTTACAGCCTGAGGAATAAAGAAGTGAGAGAAGTACTAATCGTAACTATGGCTGTGTTGGTGAAGAAATAAGTCTGTTCTGGCCCGCGAATGTGTGTATTAAAAATCTTATTTCCATTTTTGGTGTGTGTGTAAGGTTCACCAGCTCAGTGGACACAGCAGAATCAAAGAGAAATTTCACATAGTGCAGGGCCAGAGGAAATGGCATGAAGCTGTGTTGGGAAGGATTAGGATAGGTTAAGGTTCTTCATCCGGAAGGTGGTCAGACACTGGAACAGGCTCCCCAGGGTGGTGGTCACAGCCCCAACCTTCCAAAGTTCAAGAAGCATTTGAACAATACTCTCAGGCCCATGGTGGGATTCTTGGGGTGTCCTGTGCAGGGACACGAGTTGGACTCAATGACTTTTGTGGTTCTCTGCCAATTTGGGAGGTTATGTGATTCTCTGAGTCTAAGAAAGCACCTTGGGATTCATCTCCACTAAGGTAAGTCGTCTGCTGTCAGAAATCAACATACACCTTAAGAAACTCAATACAGATTTAATGCAACTGTACCCCACTAGGGATAAATTTCCACATTCTCTGTAGTTGCTGTTTTGGATACAACGATGGGGCCTGTGGATGTAACCCATGGCATACATGAAACTTATGCTTCTTTGCAGTCATACTCTGTGTGGAAGTGCTCTAGATGAGATGAGGTTGTCTAATTTTGAATTTTGAGGTATCTGAGTAGTTTTAGATTATTGCTGAGTCTTCTTGAAAGTCAAAGGAATGTAGTGAAGAACTCCAGAAGGAAAGCTGGCCCAGTTCTATGTCTCCCTCTATGATTATATCCTTATGCCATTAGTTATAAAAGCATCCAAGACAACTTATTCCTGGTTCCATACAGGGACTTTTACATTCCCCTCAGATCAATGGTGTGGGAAAATGTGGTTTCCAGAAAGGATAAACAGTCAGGAAGCATGGGAGCGAAAAGAATAGTAGAATCCACAGACACGACACGTCTGTGACTCCCATGGGAATAAATTCTGTCACCATGGCATGGGTTTGCAAGTGAAAAGTCTCTAAGTATCTGTTTACTGGAAACGGAACTTTCCAAAGGGACAAAGGAACACACAGCATTCTCCCTGTGGATGGAGTTTAGTGACCTGCTATGAGCACAGGTTTCTGTTGGGATAGGGCTGTGTTACACTCAGCTATGAAACCACACGCTGTATTTATATTGGGGTGGCACGGCAAGGGTTGGGGGTGGAAGGGGAGCTGCAGAGGGGTCCTCAGTGAGAAGAGAGCAAGAGGTGCCCCCACGTCAGACAGAGCCAAGACTCCAAGACGGACCCACCACTGCCAAAAACAGAGCCAAAGAGCAATGGTGGTGGTGGCTCTGTGATAACAGACTGACACTGCACAGCAGCTGTGAGAGAGGAGTGAGAAATTGTGAAACATCCCTACAGACACCGAGGTCAGAAAAGAAGGTGGGGGAGAAGGCACCCTAGGTGGCAGGCAAAGAGTCCCTTGACCACCGTGGAGAATCTCAGAATCACAAAATGGTTCAGGTTGGAAGGGGTCACAGTGGGTCATCTGGTCCAGCTCAAGTAGGCTCTTCCTTGAGCACATTGCACAGGATTGAATCCAGACAGTTCTGGAATATCTCCTGTGAGGGAGAATCCACGGCCTCTCTGGGCAATCTCTTCTTCATTTGCTCTCTCTGGATCACAAGCCCCACACAGCTGTGAGCCCGTGCTTTCCAGCTTTGTTCTTTTCCGCTTACTGTGGCAATAGATGTTTATGCATCTTCATACATGTTTTCTTTCTCCTTGGAGCTCAACTGTTTGGCCAAGCTGCTCCCCTGATAGATCTGCTTGTTTTCCTGTGTATCCAAAAGGACCATTTTCATGCTTGAAGGAGATTTGCCTTGAAGACATGTTGAGCTCTCTTGTGCTCCTTTGCCCTTTACAGAATATACCTATGGGATCTCATCTACTGTTTCCTTGTCAGGATGGGAGGCTGACATCATCCTGGGATCTGTCAGCAGGAGACCAGCCAGGAAATCTAGGGATGTGATTAGTGTGCTTTACTCAGTACTCACCTGACCACACCTACAATGCTGCATCCTATCTTGGGCTCCATAAGAGAAGGAAAATGGGGATATACTGGACTGACATGCCAGGAAGGAGGTTGGGGCTTGAGGACAAAGCCTACAATAGGAATCTTTCCCACAAGTTCCCAGTCGGCCCACTGCCCACCCATAGAATTGCTGCTCCTTCACATAGAAGGAAACCCCTTCCCTCTGTCCCTGCCTCTCTTTCCTGTACATTCCTCATGTGGCGCAAAATCGGTCAAATGAAGAGCTCAGGTACTCCAGGGACATCAGGGTTGTGCTTGCAGAGCTCTGACAAGCTTCTGTTTGTGTGTAGCCATGTGCAGAGAGCCCAGTTTTATGCTGTTTCATCTTTCTTGAGCGTCTCCCCCCCTCATTCCCCTGCCCCATGGATTCAGCACACAGAGCCCTGTGCCCCTCCCACCTGTGAGCTGTCATCCCCAACCTCAGGTGCACGTGGTTTAACGTGTGTCTCATCAGTATGACTTCTTGACAGATATCTCACTACACTTCCTTGCACCTCTAGACAAGTGAGTGAATCACACATGATGTCTGGGTTTTCTTCTTTTCATGTTTCAGGTGAGAAATGGAGATGTATCAGTGTGGCACAAATCCAGTGAAAAACCTGAGCTCACTTAACACAACAGAATTCAAGTAGTGAGGGTTGGCCACTACCATTCCCGGGAGACAAAGTCAACAGCCACCTGGGCTGCCTTAGCAGGGGCATGGCCAACAGACTGAGGGAAGGAATTAGCCTCCCTTTGCTCGGTACCTGTTAAACAACATCTAGAATTCTGTGTTCAGTTTTGTGACCCACACAAGAAAGGCACTGATAATCGAACCCAGGGGAGGCTTAATGAACCCATCCTAGAGATGAATCAACACAGAGCCAGAAAACACAGATGAATGCCTTGGCACCTTCTTCCATAGTGCATCAACGTGAGGTCAATCTCTAGCTGTTCTGTGCAACAAAATAGCTAATTCCACATGGAACTGAACTCATCATGAGCAGTTCACCCTACAAATTCTCCCACAGGTCTTCATGGAGGAAATCAGGCTCTAGTCCCTCTTCTCTACACAACTTTCTGATACTTCCAGCTCTATGTTACAGCCCCAAACACCTGCACACCACCCACGACAGACTCCACTCACAGCCCCAGTTTCATGTAAAGCAATTCTTCTCTTTGTCGCTTGGACCATCATCTTCTTATTTCAAGCTCTTTGAAAGTAAGAAAAGTTGTTTTGTCTAAAAATTCTGGGGAGAGGATCACCGTCTGCCAGAGACCTTGGCAAAGGGCTGCATGGGGGGCCGTGGTGACCTCTGTGGGTTCCTCAGCCACAGTATGAAGCAAAGCTGCTTTGCACTTCCTTGGTCTGAGCATCAGGGATCACTCACTGGAACAGTTTCTTATACAACTGTGAATATATCTTCATTCTAGTCAGAGCACAAGGTAACTCTCCTCTATCAACCTCTTAGCTAATGAGCTAAAATTCAGGTTATATCTTTTCTGTCTTTGTGCAAGACACCAGGAAGAGTGTAGGTAGGTTTACAAAGAGGCTGTTGTCCAGAGCTTGGAGTCCCTGTGGTGGGACATGTGCTGTGTACAGGACACTTCTAGAGTCTTCTCCCAGACATCAATGATGCTGAGATAAAGGGGAGTTTCTCTTGAAGGAAATGTCCGGTTTATAGAGGCTGAAGTTAAGACACTCACTCATGCAGTAAGTTACCAGAGGCTCTACTTTTCGTGCTTTTTCTTTTTAATTTTTTTTTTTAAGCACATCACCCAGGTTGTTTGCTGCAGAACTGGAGGGACACTGTGAATGAACATTTTAAAATGCATGATCTGCTGGGCCATTGATGGAAACAAACTTAGCATGATGTTCATACTGTTTCTCTGCAGCAATGAGTTTTCCTCATGTATGGAAAAAGGTGTTTCAGTTCAGTAGGAAGCAGTTTCAGTTTTCAGTTCAGAGGACTTAATACAACCATTCATTTATCAAAGCACAGAACACAGTTTATACCCAGAACCAGACAACAAGCTCTCGGTACTCCGCGGAAATCTCAGTGATGCTTTGAAAGAATTCTGAGAACTTTTCAAGGGACATTTTTAATAATCAGCATTGGAGAAGAAAGTTCCTGAAAAGCACCACTGAATCATCTTACTGAAAATCTGCGAGGTAAGGAAAAGAAAACTTCACTGTTCCAGGAGCAAATCAATATTGACCATGTCTGTCACTGCATAGTCATGCAGACGGACATCAGACTACCCTATAGCTGCTCCTCTGACAAGACTGGGAACAAGCTACTGAGCGCACTTTGGGGCACTAGGTAACCAACTGGGTAACAAAGTAAGTAATTAACTAGGTAGCCAGTTAGGTAGCCAAGCCAACCTCAGGTACCACCACACTCTTTTACTCTCCAGCTCTCAGTATAAATGGCATTCACTTTTCTGCAGGTATATGGCTCTAAGCAAGCTTGGCAATATCTAGAATAAAGATCTAAGGCAACCATCTCTTCTTCCTAACTGGTCCAAAACTGTCTTCCTACCTGTATCCTCTTGGAGCCAGTAAAGCCCACTGGAAAAGAACAAGTCAGAGGAGGATGTCAGGAAGGCCACCTGAAGCACTTGTGTGGGCAGGAACTGAATGGTTCCCTTCCCAGCAGCCACTTGCATCCCTGGGGGGGAAATGCCTCCTACAGTAAAAATGGGAGCCTAACCCCCAACACTTCAAAGCTCTCCCGTGGGGCAGGTGGTGCTGGGCAGCACCCCCCACCCTCTGCACCCTGTCCAGCGCTGCTGCAGTTCACTTCCCAAGACATGCCAGCTTCACAAGAGGCCTTTCCCAGGCAACATCCCCAGCTTGGAGACCCCAGGATGGAGTCAATTCGCAGCATGATCTCTATTATTGCCCCTGGCTCCCCATTCTGGGCACAAAAGTCACCCTCCATGTGGGTTCTGCATTGGTCCTGCTTCCTTCATGGTTCCACCAGCCTCTCTCAGAGCTGCCCAGAGATCTGGAACACCCCTACACCCAGTGCCTCCCACCCATCCCAGCATGCAGGGCTGGCAGCACTTCTGGTTCCCAAGTATATATATCCCAGAGTGCATGTTTGGCAGCATTCCCTTTCCTGGAACTGCCCAGGCACTGCGGCAGTGATCATGGCTCCCATCTATCCCTGTCGCTCACTGTGAAGACCAGCCCTTCTCCTCCTCCTCTTCCCAGCGCACCTGGGAACATCCTTCCCTGCTGCAGCTCACAGTTTTCAGGCCCGGGGCCTTTCCTGTATCTGTCTGCCTGTCGTTCCTGTTGCAGTCTGCTGTTTCATGGTGAGTGCATTTTGTGTATCCATCCTTCCCTGCCCCCACATGGAAATGTTGCAGTCCTGTTCTGTGTGCACATGTGCATTTGTCTGTCTGTGCTTTGTACCCTGGCAAAGGCTTGGCAGCTTCTGTGTGTCTGTGATTGCTACCCTGTCCTGCCAGGCTCCTTAGTTCAAATGTTACCTATACATCTGGGATCTCTGAGATCAAGGACAGCAGGTTTAGGTCCAAATTCACAATGAGGCACATACACAGTTCATGATATTTCCAATATATTGTAAATATAATTTATATTTCTAAAATACAGGAAATAGATGTGCAAGCAGAGGAACTTCGTTATGGGGATCCTTGAAGGCAGGTATCAGTAAATCAGGATTTTTACTATGAACAAAGAATCATATCTTCAGTCTTTTATCAGTTTAATGACTGTTTCATCTAATAGGAGCTATCTTATGGGCGCTGAAGAGAATGAGGCTGCACACCACACAGATTTCCATTTCGGGATTTGTCCACTGGTAATTTTTTGCGTTCCCCTTTTATTCATATTCTCTCATAAGTAGCACATGGTGTTTGTCTTTTAGTTAACCAAAATTCCCAGGATTGTCCTAAACCAGTGCTTTGATCCCACACATTCACCTTGCATCATGTGGTGGCTGTGTTCAGCCATGAGAGAAAAACACACACTATCATGCAGACCGTTGAAGTGGTTTTCCACTTTGAGAAACACAACATTCTCTCTGTCAAAGCACTTAACCAAGATCAGTCCTCCCTTTTGAGTCCAATTAACTAAGTGCAGGTGCAGAGTGACTCCGCTTCTGCCAATACTATCTCCCCAGGAATTCCTCTGATGAAGGGGCCCTCCAGAATCAGGAGAATTATCCAAATACAGTTTAAAGAAACTGACAGCACAACTATGGAGTAACAGACATCATCAAATTCTGATTTAATTCTAGATTAGTGACGGTTTTTTTGCTTCCCTTGTGACATTTAAGTAAGCTGGGTTTTCCTTGTCTTTTCTTTGTTCCGTGTTCCTTGAGTCATGTTAATACTTCAGCTGGGCTGAAATATTCTTCTGGGACATTCTCACCGGGAAGACCATCTGGGCCAAGTTTCTTGTGACCCTTCCCCTTTATCCTTTCTCTAGAAGGATATTTTTCTCTAGAAAAAATGTTTCTTACTGGGACCCACTGAGTGCACCAAATGCATTACCCCAGGAGATAAGTGCTGGTTCACAGTGATCCCCAAAAAGAAAGATATTTAGGTTCTGCAAAGTTCCATTTGAAATGTCATTGCTTAGAGCTAACACTAGAAAGAAAGAGAGAACAGCATCAACAATCTTACACCCCCTTGGACGCTGAGACCCTCAGGCTGTGCAGCACTGAAAGGTCTCTGATCAGCAGTATATTCCCTGTGCATGTTCTGTCTCTGTTACAATGAGCTGACTGGGGTTATCCTGTGGCCATGGGATTGGTGCAGTCCAGCACAAGCCTGAAGACCAAGCCAGATGTGCAGCACAGCACAGTCCTGTCCTGTGCCTCCTCAGATCAACTGCTTCAGGGGCCACTAATTCTGAGGCACAACGATCTCCCAGTCAGGATCACTACAGCAGAGAATACACATCCCTCTTCTCTTCCTTGTTCTATTCCCCCTCACATTCCTCTCATTTCTCATTCATTCCTTTGCCCCATTCTCACTCCCTCTTTCCGAACTCTCTGGCAGTCCTCCTCACAGGGGTTTAGAACTTGATCTGAATGTATCTGAATGTATTGAAATACCTACTTTTATACATAATAATATTGAACTGAATCATCCTACTGCGCAATTTAGGGGTGAGATGTAGTCATTGAATGGGTATCTAGTACCATTTTAGATGTCCTGTCTGTTCCAAGATAGACACCCAATGCCAATATCTATAGCACAGAACCCCCAGGAGGCAGCTAGAAGGAATTTCCTCACCTTTGCTAGGATCACTCACCCATGCTAAGCCTTCTCGCTGCAAACGACCCTCCTGTCCGATGTTTTGACAACAGAGTCAAGGCTCTACTCAGTGTTTGTAAGAGTTTACTGACAGTACACAGAACTGGTGGGTTTAGCTGCCTAACTGACAGATCAGTCACAAATCAGGCACTTTTTATAATCCTCTCCCTCACAGTCCTCATAACTCCAGTTGCTCCTCAGCTCTGCCATTGTCCTCTTGCCTCCCATTTTTCTGGATGTGCATCCATACATCCCAGACACAAATTAATTCATCCATTCTTTTCCCCATTTCCCCAATGTAAGGATGCAAGGAGTTATCTTGACCCATGTATGTGGGTGTGAGCTAGAGATCATGGAGGAAGGGAAGACTGAAGTGCCCAGGTTTTTTGTTCTTGCTGGTTTTTTGTTTGGTTTTTGGTTGGTTGATTGGTTGGTTTTGTGTGTGTGTGTGTGTGTTTTGCTTGTTTGGTTGGTTTTTCCCCAGAAGGTCCTCGTAGCTCATTTTTGCTCTTTTCCTCACAGAAGTTCTCTTCAACCAAAAAGTCAAGATGAGGAAAAGTGGCATCCTGAGCAAACAGTATATGTGTAGGGGTAAGTTGGGGACAGAAGGGTGGCACCTGTGAGTGGTGGTGAAGATCTTAGCTGAGGAGTAATGTGGGAAGAATGGATTTTTTAGCTGGTTGACAGGCAGTTGCATCTCACCATGTTCTGGGAACCCAGGAACATGGCCTGTAGTCAGCCTTTACATTCTGTCACTGGCATAGCAAACATCATTCTGTAAGTGTGATTCATCTCACTCATAGTGCTGAAGGCTTTCCAGGGAAATGATTACAAAGTAGTAGGAGGATGTAGGCGAGATATCTACTACTGTGGGAAGCTGGTAACCCTCCTCAGTGCTATGATACTGTATCATCTCCACTGTGGAGCTAAATGAACCCCTGTGGTTGCCTGATACCTTAGTACATCACTTGATTAGTGAGTTGAATCATCCTCTCCAGGTGAACTCTACCATCTTAGGTACACCGTCTCCTTGCTGATATTACAGCAACCCCTATGACGGTCTTATACCTCACTTTGCAAAGTGTCACTCTCTTCCTCCTACAGTGTTGCACCATTCTTGACAAAGACACTACTCCAATGTATTTTACCAACAGGTCTGATGCCTCACTGATGCCCAGCCTTCCCCTAAAATGAGTGTTCTTTACCTCAAAGCAAGGGCAAAGGTATGGAGAAGGTTTCCCTCCATTGGCTGCTCTCACAGCAGATAGAGAGATAACCAAGACCATCTTCCAACCAAATTCAGATCTACACATTGTTGGTCTCAGATAAACCATAGGCTACAAGTATGACAGATGAGAAAGGGAGGTCAGTGAGAAATATCTCTGCTGTCAACAATGAAAAGGAGATAAATCATGGAATTACAGCATGGGTAAGATTGAAAGGAACCTCTGAAGGTCATCTAGTCTAACCTCTGCTCAAGCAGGGTCCTGTAGAACACATTATGCAAGATTGAGTTCAGACAACTTTTGAATATCTCCAGAGAAGGAGACACCAAAACCTCTCTGGATCTCTCTGGGAACCTGTTCCATTGCTCAGTCACCCAAACACAGCTGGCCTTGGCAGTGAACACTGAAGCAAATCTGCTTGGCACCTCCTGCCATATGTGTGAAGCTCCAGTGTGAGACTGTCTCAGGCTATGTGCTGGGGGACAGACAGACTCTTCTTAATGTCATGGTAGGCTTGAGCTAAGATGAAGCATGGCAGGTGGCAATCTGAGGGCAGAGCTGCCATGGGCTTTGGACAAAGAGGGGCTTAGAGAGATGAGAAACTTTGGTCTAAGGGAAACTTTGGCAGCCTAAGGGACCTTTCATTTCTGTTTACCAGCTTCTGCAACTGACATTTCTGTGGCAGGTTTGGACACACAACTCTTTTCCACTACAAGCAGACACCTCAAATTTAAAGATTCCTACAGACAATCAGGGAGTTTGAGAACTATTGTGTCTTCCTCAGGCTTATTCCAGAGGGGAATATGGTTCTTTTCTTCCTATCCTGAAGTGGAGCTGGAAACTGTGACAGTAAATGTAACCATTCAGGACTTTGTGGCTGATGTGGTGTCTGAGCTGGTTTTCCGCAACGTGCAGCAAGTCTCCAAGGAGACCATGTTCATCTTTCCTGTGGATTCAAATACTGTTGTAGACACCTTCCACGCTACCATGGGGGACTCTTTCATTGAAGCAATGCTCTGGGAGAAGGAGGAGGTACTGGGGTTGTAGTGGGAATGGGTGGTTTGTGGACTGGGTGAGAGGATCCTGTGTATTTAATTTCTTTCATTCATTCTTATGGAGACCTCAGTGATACATTTTTCTCCCTTTGTGGCAGGCCCAGAAGCTGTGCAAAGCTACTCCAGGCATGGAGAATTTAAGATACCTGCAGGATCAGTGGGATCTCTGGGGTCGTGTGTTCGCTTGTTTCTTGGGAACTCTGCCTCCTAACGGGGAGGTGACCATCAGCCTGTGCTACGTCCAGGAGCTGCCACTGCAGCCAGATGGGGCTGCCCAGTTTTGCTGGCCACATGAACTGTTCCCGTGGATTAAATACACCAGTGAGTGACGCAGGGAGGAACAGGCGGCTCCCCAGCATCCCTCAGGGAGGGGCTGGGGGTGTGTATCTGCAGGAGTGCCTCAGTGAGAGAATCTGAATATTCCCCCTTGCCCCTCATAGTCATGAACCCCACAAGTCTCCTCATATATACCATAGCAAGAGACCCCACAGACCCCTATGCAAAACACAGTGTATGTCTACAGATTCACCACCACCACAACTAAACACTACAGTGAGGGACTTAGATGCCACATTTTCTCTCTAGAAATGAGAGACAGAGCCCCACCACAACTGAGTGCTTCAGTTTCTCACACCTCTCTCTCCTTGCAGGCCGGATCTCTTCCAAGGAGGAGATGTCCAAAAATCTGCACTTCAGCATCTCCCTGAAGTCAGCCCATGGTGTGTCCCATGTAGTTATTAACAGCAGCCACACCCCTTTGCAATACACAGCTTCTGATCACACATCTGCTCAGGTACGTCACTGCCAGATGCTTCCCAAAGTGGGAGAGTAGATAAGGATCTGCAGCCTGCTGGTGCTCCTTAGGACTCCTTAATCCACTTATTTGGTTCTCTTTTCTCCACACACCCTACTTATCCTCAGGTATTCTTGAAATCATCACCCTGGATGCAGGATGATCTGAACTTAATGGTATATTACAAAGGGCCTCACACCCTCAGTGCTGTGGTGGAGAGGAGAGATCCTAAAGCCCCACCTGGTGAGTGAGTAGGGTGGAAATAGGCATTAGGGAGAGGGTATCGGGGAGAGTAGGAGGATCTGGGGGCAAAAAGTCAGAGCTGAGGGCAAAAGAAAAGAGACAGGGAAGGATGCTCCAGTCTATAAATCCTTCTTGTTTCCCCACACACACCCTAGGCTCTCTGCTAGGACACCCTGTTGTGATGCTGACACTGATGCCAAACATTCCTGAAGTAGTGCCCAGTCCAGGCCATCTGGGGGAATTCCTCTTTCTCGTGGACTGCAGCCTCTTCCAGGATGCACAGGTACAACTGGGCGAGATCTTCAGGGGACATTTTCCTCACCTGTCATGCTCGGATGATGGGCATAAAGGCAAGCTGCTTTACGTGGGCAGATGTTCTGCTTAGCTTCCCCATCTCAGTTCTGCCCGTCTCTCCACAGAACACACTGTTATTCCTCCTCAAGAGTTTGCCTCTGGGCTGTTACTTCAACATCTACAGTTTTGGGGCCACTTTCAAAGCCTTCTATCCGTGAGTTCAGGGTGATAAGGGAGTAGGGTCAAGGGGTAAGTATAGCATGACTTTTCTCCCCCTGACACTCTGGGTGCCTTCCCACAGGCAGAGTGTGGAGTACACACAGGAAAACATGGACAGTGCTGTGGGGTGCATCTCCTCCATCTACCCTGATCTGGGGGGCTGTGACCTGTTGGGTCTCCTAAGGTCTATTTACAGCACTCCTCTCCTTTATGGGCACCCCCGTCAGGTATGAGGGGCCAAAGGATTCTGGGGAGGGGAATGGGTGTAAACAAATGTAGATTTCAGGGCTAAGGGTGAGATATTCTGATGCTGATTGCGAGGAGAGTTGGCATGTGAGAGGCATCCTCATGGGAGAAAGTGACACCATCTTTGGACTGAGCAGCTTGGAAGGACTTCTATTCAATTGTCCTGCACATGAGGGAGCTGGATCTTCCTTGTAGGGTGTCTCTTTGTGCTGAGAGGTGTCCTGGTGCTAATGAAAGGAGACTCACAATCTCTTTTCCTATGTCAAGGCCAGTGGGCATGAGAGTGTAAGGGAGCAAACTGGGAAGGCTGCCTGCATTTTAGAAGAGTGTCTTTCCTATATGGGGGTTCCAAGACCTGAGAATCCTTGTTTCCTTTCCTCTCTCCCTCAGCTTTTTATCTTCATTCAAAGGAAGATCTCCAGTGAAGAGGAAGCTGTCATGGCTGAGGTCTACCATTACCGAGACCACCACCGGTAATGCCTACACTCTTCACCCAGTGGGCCTCCTCTCCCAGTCTTTCTCTGCTCTCCTCAGCAGTATCTCAGCAGTATTCCTCTTTACCCTCACTAAGCAATACCTCAGTGCACTCTTCAGCCCCAAAACCCATTCTCATGGTCATCAGGCAACATCTCTTATCCCAGAGTGAATGGGAAGACACAATATCATTTTCATTTTTACAAGTAGAAGCTTCATTACCTCTCGAGACTTTGTCCTTTGGACCACTCTTGTTCTTTGTGCCTCTCACCTGTGTCCCACTTCTAACATCTCCCTCTTTTCCTGTACAGGTGTTTCTGTTTTCCTGCTAACAGATGTGTCAACTTTCACCTTTCCCAGGCCATAGCCCTGGAGACAAAAGGTGAATGTGTGTGCATCCACTCTAGAGTGGACATGGCATCCAAGGTAATGACCTAGGTACCTGGGCTTCCAGGATCCCCCCTGCTCTATTCAATGCTTCCCATGGCTCACATAAACATGTAGTGCAATTCAAATACCACCATCCAAACAAACTCCAAGACCCCTCCCAAATTCCCATCATCCCAGAACTGGGAGGGAGTCCAAGTGGTTTGTGCTCTCTGCTTCCTGTGTCACCAGGCAGTGAAATGTCTGCAGCGGGCTCTGCAGCCTATGGCCAGTGGGATCTCACTACACTGGGACCTTCCACCTGGCCTGGAGGTGTCACTGATCAGAAAAGCTCCTGAGATGATCTTCCAGGGACATCAGAGCTCCATCTATGCCCAGATCCATGGGCAAGCACAGGTGAGAGGGATCCAGGAACCATATGCACCAGGGCATGGCTTTCTGGAAGGTAAAGGACCCACGTCCTGTTCCACCTTCCCAGTACTGAGAGTATTTCACCTGTGTTAGACCTGGGAGAGACCATTATCAGGGCTCTGTAAACCTTCATTGCCTCTTCTCCAAGCATGGGTATCTACTTCCTTAGTAGAGCAGGAAGGGAATCTAGGTAGCCAGGCTGCCTGGGCCCAGACTATGAACTTTTCTGTCTGACTCTTCCCTTGCGTTACCAGGATGCAAAGGTGGATGAGGGAGCTGTGACTCTTCAGTACCATGTGGGCAATCAGTTCTTCGATTACACACTCAGGTTCTCATTGTCCTCATCATCAGATGACAGGTGAGAGGGTAACACACCTTGCACATGAGGCAGAGTGACACTGGCAGGGTCTGCAGGAGGAACAGCAGAAGTCCTTCACTTGCACCCTGAGGTGGGAAGAGAATCTGGGTATCTGGTGCTCCTGCCTTGTCCCTTCTGTGCTGACCTTGGGAGAGGAGCTCAATGACCATTAACCCACTGCCCCCTCCTCTTTAGTCCATGTATCCCTTGCCCCTCCTCGAGGTGGAACCAAGGACTAACTCCCTGCCCCTGCAGGCTGCCAGTGCATCGCATGGCCCTGATGCACCTGCTGTGGGAACGAGCCTGGGAGGGGACAAGCAGGACAGAGAAGGACACCTGGCAGAGCACAGTGAAGTCCAGCCTCACCCTGGGGGTTCCATCTCCCTTCACATCCAGTGTGGCTGTACGGATGAAACACAGGGACGCCTGGCACCACGGTAAGGCTGGAAACAGTGGGGACACTGGAAGACCTGGTGGTCTGATGCCTTCTCACCATCTGCAGCCCCTGGTCCTGTGGGCCTGACCACCCTTTTGCCTGTCTCTAATACCCACAATTCTACCCCTACCTCCCTGCCTTTCTTCCCGGATTCTTTGCCTCCAGACTCTTCCATGTTGCTCTCTCCCTCTTTAAACCTGGTTCCCTGCCAGTTGCTCTGGTTGCGTGGATTCAGGCCTGTGTTCTTCAAGTCCACCAAGTTTTGGATGGTTCAGAAATGCCAGTTATGCCTTGAGATGCTCGGTCACAAAGCCCCTGACACTGAGACACTCACCCAGCTTTCGACATACTGTAAAGGTAAGGAGAAAATTCTTGTCTGAGCATTCTCAAAATGTGTTAGCTAGGGCTGAACTTTCAGAATCACTAGACTTTCTGATTGTCACTATGCTGGGGATGGATGGAGTGACAGACCTACAAAAGTCCATGGGATTGGGTGCATCCAGAAGTGCCAAAGGAGTGGGCTGATACCACTGCCACTGTATCATCTTCAAAAGATCATGGCAAATGGGAGAGGTTCCCATGGCTGGAAAATAGTCAGATGTCTCACCCATCTTCAAGAAGGGGAAGAAGAAAAGTTCAGAGACATACAAGCTGGTCAGACTCCCCTTAATCTGAGGAAAGGATCTGAAGCAAATAATCCTCTTAGAAGGGCCATCCTGTATGGGTTTTGAAAAGAAAATCATGCCTGACCAACCTCACTGCTTTCTTGAATGAGGTAGCTGGAACTGTGAGCAAGAGAAGGGTAGTGGATTCTCTATACCTTGACTTTAGCACGGCCTTTGACAGTCTCTTTATTGAGGCATCAATGAGATACTGGATAGGATAAAGGATCAGTAAGGTTGGTGGAAAATTGGCTAGACTGCTGAGCTCAAGGAACAGTTATCAGCAGTTCAGAGTCCAGCTGGTGCCCAAAACCCTGTGCAATTCCAGAGAGATCTCTCATTGTAGCAGTACCATTTAATATCTTCATTAATGACCTGAACATTAATGGAGAGAGTACGCTCCCAGCAAGTTTATGAACAACAACAAATTGGGAGCAGTAGGTATGTGGTCAGTACAATAAAGGCTGGAGAAACGGCCTGACAGGAACTGTGTGACATTCAATAACAAAAATGCAAAGTCTTGCATCAGGAATGGATCAGGAATTGGATAACCCTACGAACAATATGGGCTCAGGGCATGCATGTCGAAGGAAGCAGCTCTACAGGAAAGGATCTTGGGGTCCTAGAAGACAACTACTTGAACAAAAGTCAGAAGTGTGCCCTGCAACCAAGAAAGCCAACAGCATCCCAGGCTGCAGAAGCAAGACTATAGCCACTGTGCAGGGAGGTGATTGTGGGGCATTGTGTCCAACTTCTGCTTCCTTAACCAGAAAGGTATCGACACACTGGAGTGACTCTAGGGAAGGGCCACTGAACTGAGATGGCTGAGCACATGGCTTGTGAGGAGAGGCTGAGAGAGCTGGGTTTGCTCATCTTTTAGAAGAAGATATCTGTCTACTTGTCTAGTTGTCTTCCTTCAGTTGGCTGACTGAAGGAAAAAAAGAAAAAAAACAGAGAAAATTCTTTTTCAAAGTGCCCAATATTAGGACTTGAGGCAACAGACACAAGTTGGACCATGGGAAATGCTGACTGGGTATGAGGAATTATTTATTTATTTATTTAATCATAAGAAAAATATAAAAATTGGTGGACTCTCCATCCTTAGAGATATTCAAGACTTGACTGCACAGATACCAGAGTGAGCTGTTCTAATGAGACCTGCATTGAGTAGGAATTTGATCAAGAAGACTTCCAGAAGTCCCTTCCAACCTCTGTATACCTTTAGGCCAGTCTTAAATGATGCCTAGTTTTGCCCTAACTACTCTGTGCCCAACTGCTTCATTTTCTGACCATAATAACTTTTCAGTCTGCTCCAGAATTGAGCCTAGGACTATAATAGTCATGGGCTGTGCTTGGCTCTCTTCATCTTCGCTCTCTTATGATGCAATGGTGCTGTAGCTCCAAAGAAGTCTTATATCTTAGAATGAGGAAAGGAAGGACTCATGGTGATGTTGGTGGGTTTAAGAGTGGATGATGCAGAAGGACCACTGTGGGACCCTCAATGGTGAATGTGAGCCATAATGGGGGAAGTGACAGGAAGGAATGAGTGATGCTCATGGGTGGAATTAGGCGTGTTCCTACCCAGAGAGAATTACTCTGGGTAAACTAGAGCATATAGGACAAATTTTAACATAGTTGTGACATATTTGAAAGACCTGAAGATACTCTGGGAGGTCTGTAAAAAGTTCCGGATGCTTGTGTATGACTGGAAAAATTGAAAAATTTGGAGAGGACAGAGTAGAGTTAAGTATACTTGGAGAAGGCAGAATTTAAGGTTAGTGGTCATTGCCCATCTCCATGTGAGTTGTGTGAACATTTCTGTCTTCCAGAGCAGAAGCTTTCTCCTGAAGAACAGGTGATGGATGAACTGCCAGCATTTAACATCAGTTGGGACTGGGCAATTTCACCGCTGGCAACAAGACTGTGTGACTTCTCTGGGCTCAGGGCAGTGGTGGCACTCCAGAAAGCAAATGGCTCCTGGACCCTCACCACAGCTCTGGCCTCTGCCTTGGGGCTCAGCAAAGCTGATATTAAGGGACAGAGGCCCAGTGAGGTAAGGAGATCAGGGACAGGAGGGGGACACTCTCATGAGCTGAACTTTCCTGTTCCAACCAAATTTCTAGTCTGAGCTGAACTGAGAGGAAGAGATCAAGGCAGTGGAGTTTATCCTCTCTGCTTGTGGAAGAAGGACATGGAGGGTGTGGGATGAAATCCAGAGGTACTAGGGAAGTTTCTGATGTTGAGGATTTCAGAAGCTTAAAGAGTTTGTTTGTATGCATTGAAGTCTTCTTCTCCTTGACTGTTCTGTTTTCCCTCAAAGGATGTGGAGCCAGCTGTCTGGGCCACAGTTTTGGCCTTGGTCTGGTTGCACAAGTATAAGTGGAAGGTACCTTGGTCAGAGCTTCTGGTGGCCAAAGCATGCAGGTGGCTGCTGGACCAAGATGGTAAGAAGATTTTGCTGTGAGGAGTCACACTCTGGACTTTTCCCACTAAATCCACAGCTGACACCCACTGATTCATATTCCTCTTTCCCAGTGCTCCTGTGCTGCAGTCTGTGAGACTGTTGGTACACAATGTATTTCCTTACTGAGTTGTAGTCCCTCTCTGCATTTTCTCTCTTCTTGCAGAAGTCCAACTGGATGAATGTCTGGAGGCAGCAAATTCCCTGCTGGGCTGCTTTGTGGAGCCTGCTGTCTTCAGGATGTGCACTTACCTCACTGCTGGGGGTGGAAAAGAAGCTAGGTGGGAACACAGTCAGGAAAGCTGACCCAAACTAGTCAAAGGGACGTATCACATGCCATTAAAATCACACCCTTGTGGGATGGAGCGAGTGAACTGCTGGGTGGGTGCTTAGTTGCTGTCCACGGCCAACTCACTAAAGCTGGCTTGTTCACATATTTGTTCTCTACAATAATCACTGTGTTCTGAAAAATAATGCTAATTACAAATACTAAAATTTGCTTCATTTCCATATTCTGCTTTTCTCTGAGATTTACTCAGTCATCAGTTCAAAATACCAGACTGCAGGGAGAAAAATTTGTTAAGATAATACAGGAAAACACCTTCATGTATCTGACTGTCTTTTTGTTTCCCTCCTCTCTTCCTATGTGCCTTTCTGGCTTTTTATAGAAAGGTAAAAATAATGTTATTTGTTAGAGGAACTTTTTTTTTCTTTTTCTTTTTCTTTTTTTTTTTCCTAAAAAACGGTTTGTCAAGTAAAGGGGTGGATTTCACTGGATCACTGCAGTGTTTACCATAGGTGTCCAGTGCTATTTCAGCTGTCCTGAGATATCTGAACCACCTGTCAGGTAGGAGGCAGGATAGAAAGGACTGGTTTTCTGAGGTGACAGCTGGGGAGTGAGTGAAATACCATTGTGGAATAAGATTTAGCTGCCTATGTATTGAAGTCCAGTGCCATTTATGATGTTCTAGGATTTCAAGCATATTAGGTTTACATGACAAGGTTTTGGTAGTGGGGAGGCTGCAGCAGTGACCTCTGTGGGAATCCCCTATGTGGGATTTTTCCGTGCCAATCACAGGTGGTTCCAAACCAGACCCACTTACAGAGGCAGTCAGCAAAGCTGGTGGCCTCCCTGTAAAATCACATGTAAGAAAAGGTAGATAATGCTATGTAGACAGAACAGGAGGGAAAAGAAGAGTGAGAACAGCAATGCAAACACCACAGTAAGAGAGGGAGGAGGAGGTATTTCCCTACAGCCCATGATGGAGCAGAGATTCATGCTGCAGCCCATGGAGGACACTCTGCTGGACCAGAGGGAGATTTGCTGAAGGAATTGCAACCCATGGGGAAAACCTGTGCTGGAGCAGAAGAAAAGTGTGAGGATGACAAAGGTCCAGAAGGAAATTGCTGTGTATTGGTCAGAGGCCCCAGTCTGCCATCCTCCCTGTACAGATGGCAGGGGTGGGGAGCAAAGGAAGTCAGTAGAGAAGTGAAGCTGCGCCTGGGAATAAGGGGACATGGGGGAAGGGTGTTTTAGTTTTTGCTTTTATTTCTCACCCTCCTACTCTATTTTAATTGTCAGTAAATTATACCAGTTTTCCCCAAGTTGAGTTTGTTTTGCCTGTGACAGTAATTGCTAAGCAAATACCATATCTTTTTTTAACCTCACAACCTTTTTCATTTATTTTTCTTCATGTCCTATTGAAGAAAACGAGTGAGGGAGCCTGGCAGCCAGGCAAGGTCAAACCCTAAAAAAATTCACCATATTTTAACAATGGTTACTTTTCTACATCTACACTTTTCATGCAGATTTTTTGTGTAGTTCAATCTCACACTTAAGTTACCCTTCATGCTCCATGCATAGTCAAAGATGATAAATAGGTATTTCTTCTCATGGGGTTATTGGATCTGAAAGCAAAAATAGTATTTGGTGTTTAGAATCTCACACCAAACTTTTGGGATTTCCAACAAACAACAATAATTCAGCTGCTCAAAATCAGGACACAGTGATTCCATTATGTAAAGGTTTGGGGGTGAGGCTGGGAGGAAATGGAAAGCAATGATAATTTACTTTGGAAAAGAACAATGTGCAATTATATGGGTAATTTACAGTACAAAGCAGATAATGTGAACTAACATTTATTTAGCTTTAAAGTGATGATAATAAAGATGCACATCATGCACTCTAATCACCATAGCATGTAATGGACCTGATGCAATAAAGCAAAAACTCCAGTGGAGACATATCTAAATGGACACCATCAAAACCCTTCTCTGCATTTCTCCTAGTATTTTCAAATAAACATCATGACCTATTGGGCAGTTTCTGGAAGTTCAATACTGGACGCAGTATTGTTTAATTTATTTATCACTGGTTTGGATGAAGGGGCAGATGCATCCTCAGCAAGTTTACTGATGATACAAAACTAGGAGGAGTGGCCATTAACCCAGAGGGCTGCACAGCCCTTCAGAGGAACCTCAACAGGTTGGAGAGATGGGCAGAGAGGAACCTTCTGAGATTCATCAAGGGCAAAAGCAGGGTCCTGCAGCTGAGAAGGAGCAATCCCAGGCACCACTACAGGCTGGGCGTGACCTGTTGGAAAGCAGCATTTTGGGGAAGGACCTCGGGGTTCTCACAAGCTGCCTGTGAACCAGTCGTGTGCCCTGGGGGCCAAGAAGACCAATGAGATGCTGGGTGCATTAGGAAGAGCATTGCCAGCAGGTCAAGGAGGTGATCCTGACCCTCTACTCAGCCCTGGTGAGGTACATCTGGAGCATTGTGTCCAGTTCTGGGCTCCTCAGCACAAGAGAGACATGGTGCTCCTGGAGCAGGTCCAGTGGAGGCTGTGGAGATGGTTAAGGGACTGGAGCATCTTTGTTATGAGGGCAGGCTGAGGGAGCTGGGCCTGTTCAGCCTCGAGAGATGACTGAGAGGGAACCTCAACAATATCTGTCAGTGTCTGAAGGGAGGAGGGACCAGACTCTGCTTAGGGGTGCTGAGCAATAGGACAAAAGGCCATGGGCAGAAACTGATGCACAGGAAGTTCCACCTGAATATGAGGAAGAACTTCTTTACTGTTGTGGTGGGTTGAGCTTGGCTGGATGTCAGGTGCCCACCCAGCCACTCTATCACTCCCCTTCCCAGCAGGGCAGAGGAGAGAGTAAGGTGGGAAAAGAAACAGCTCGTGGGTTGGGATAAGGCAGTTTATTTAAAGCAAAAAAGTAAAGCGAAGCTTGCGCGCAGAAGCAAAAGATAGCAGGGTTTGTTCTCTGCTTCCCATGAGCAGCCATGGTCGGCCACTCCCAAGGAGCAGGGCTTGGGGATGTGTGATGGTTCCTCAGCAGGCAGCCATTGGAGACAATGAATGCCCCCCTCCTGCTCCGTGCCTCAGCTTTTATAGCTGAGCTGATGTCACATGGTCTGGAATGTCCCTTTGGTCAGTTTGGGTCAGCTGGCCTACTTGGGTCCCCTCCCAGGATCTTGCCCTCAACTAAGGAAGGAATGTCCCAGTGCTGGTGCTGTGCTCAGCAGTGGCCAAAACACTGGTGTGTTATCAACACTCTTCCAGCTGCCAGTGCAACGCACAGCATTGTGAGGGCTGCTGTGGGGAAATGAGCTCCAGCTCAGCCAGACCCAGTACAATTGTGCAGGTGACTGAACACTGGAACAGATTTCCCAGAGAGGTTGTGGAGTCTTCCTCACTAGAGATATTTCAGAACCATCTGGACACAATCCTGTGCCAGGTTCTCTTGAGCAGCGAGATTGGACCAGATGACCCACTGTGGTCCCTTCCAGCCTGACCCATTCTGGGATCCTGTCATTCCGTGATTCTCACACATACACACACATTGAGGTATGTCCCTTTTATAAAAGAGCCCAATTATAAATTATATTCTATAAGCATATATAAAGCAAAGGGAAGGTGAGATAGAGACATAGGCAGGCAGGCATGCACAAAGGGTTTGTGAGCATTACTCTGGATTTGTTCTGTTCCATTCCATATATCGTTCTGTGAAAGCTGCTGCCATCAGCGGGTCAAAATTGCATGTATAATGAAATCTTTACAAAATCTTCTTCAAAAATACGTCAATATTTTCCTCTTATTCCAGTGATATAAACTGTTTGCTACTGGAAAATTAACCACAGAATCACGGAATCATTTTGTTTGGAAATGATTCTGAGATCATCGAGTCCAACCTTTGACAAATCCAGTTGCCTTATCAGCTAGACCATGGCACTCAACTGGACCATGGCACTAAGTGCCACGTCCATTCATTTCTTGAACACTTCTAGGGATGGTGACTCTACCTCCTCCCTGGGAAGCCTCTTCCAATGCCTGACCACCCTTTCCATGAAGAAATTCCTCCTACTGAACCTCCCCTGGTACAACTTAAGGCTATTTCTTCACATCCTATTACTTGTTGCCTGGGAGAATAGACACCTTGCTACAACCTCCTTTCATGTATTTGTATATAGGGATAAGGTCTCCTTTGAACCTACTTTTCTCCAGGATAGAAACCCCCAGTTCTCTCAGGTGCTCCTCATAGGACTTACCCTTGAACCTTTACTCATGAAGTGCTCATTTCCTGGAACATAGAGGAAGCCTGATAAAAATCCTATTTATTTCTGTATAATAATCTGCAGCCAGTTAATTTTTGCATGGCAGCTTTGATGCCATTGTTCCTCATGGTGTAAATGACTGGATTTATCACTGATGGCAACACAGAATAGAAAAGAGAAACTGTGAGATCTGGAGCTGATGGGGAGTTAGAGACAGGCTTAAGGTAGGCAAAAGAACCAGTGCTAACAAACATAGAGACCACAATGAGATGGGGGATGCAGGTTGAAAATGCTTTACGCTGGATTTCCTTGACAGGAATTCGCAAAACCACAGTGAAAATCTGAATATAAGACATACTTATAAAAACGAAACAGAGGGCAACTAAAAAAAACTAAATGTAAGAACCCCAACTTCACTAAAATATGAATGAGAACAGGAAAGCTTGAGAAGCTATGGAATGTCACAAAAGAACTGTTCAATAATGTTGGACTTGCAGAAGGTTAAAGAAAAGATGTTCCCAGTGTGGAGAGCAGAGTAAGGGACACAGCTGAGCCATGCACTGGCTGCCATGAGGCTGCAAGTGCTCCCCTTCGTGATGATATTGTAGTAAAGAGGTCTGCAGATGGCAATATAACGATCATATGCCATGACAGTCAGTAAAGCAAGTTCAGCAGCACCAAAAACATGGAAGAAAAAGACTTGGGCAACACAGCCGGAATAGGAGATGGATGTGGTATTCCATAGAAAACTGCCCATGGACTTTGGAGGGTGACAGAGATGGTTGAAAGGTCTAAGATGGACAAATTCAGCAAGAAGAAGTACATGGGGGTGTGAAGGTGATTACTGGCAGCTATAACCACAATAATGAGAAAGTTTCCCACCATGGCAGTCAGAAATAACGTAAAGTGGAATATCTGCAGTTCTCGAGTGTCAGAGAATCCCATGAGAAGGAATTCAGCCACAGTGCTTTGGTTAAACATTTTCTTTCCAGTGTGTTGGTGAAAACTGTGAAGAGAAAGTCAGGGATTTTGGTTGAGACTTGAAGGTCTGCTCTGTAGTCTCTCCACCAACTGAATTTCACAGCTGCCCTAAACATGTTTTGCTCACTGAAGACAAAGTTCACAAATCCCACATCATGTACCAAACTGTCAGAAACAAATCCTTCAGTAATCACAGTTCCATATATGAAATACACATGTATGCACGTACATACTGTATGTATCACATATATATGTCTAGTCTACATATGATTTATATATGTGTATTACATAGAAGTTTTATATGCATGTCTCTCTCTCTCTATATGTGTATATAAACACTGCTCATATTTCCTATAATTATTTTAATATATGTTCATGTTCATATTTATACATACATACCTATTATATGTATGATGAGATCCCATAATCTCCATGATGAAAACCCAGTGTAGCAGATTTTTACCCCAGAAATGTGTAGAGATAGAAACAGGAGTCCAAACGTGTCTGCAGTGATCCAACATGGACCTTTCAATGTATTTCTCCCAACAGCAGTCAGAGCTGCTAATATCACCTGTTATGGGGTGTGACTTCAGCCTTTGCTAATGGGATCCTGGTGCCTAAATGGAGTTAGAAAGTGCCAGTTGAGATGTACTTC